GTCTTCTACATCCACCTTGGAGAGGGCAAGTCCCGTGTGACTGGGCAGTCCCCGAGGTGCCTCAACACCTGCCAGCCTCGCTCCTCCATGAGAGGTCTCGTGGGTACATCATGTGGAGCACAGACGGTGAGAAATAACCACACAGGAGCTTAGCTGCAGGTCCCCTCTGCCCCCCACCCCAACACTCACTGGCACCTGGGCAAGGCAGTTTTGCCCCTGAGAGCAGCAGGGCTGGGGTAAGGAGGTGCTGCCCATCTCACAGCCTCCAGCAGCTCTGCAGGGACAACCTTGGACAACACACACTTCCAGCATCACGACACTCTAAGACTTCCCTAAAAGCAAATATCAAAGAGACAAAGTTGGGTCTTACAAAAGCCAGGCTTCTTGAGCCCAACAGCTGCCTACTTGTGGAAAATGGATGATCTACAATAAAAACACATCAAAAAGCATCTTTGATGTTTTTCAGCTGCCGAACAGCCAGATCAACTGGGAGACTGAACTTCAAGTTGCTCAAGCGGCTGAGGAGGGTGAGTGCGCTCTCAAAACCCGTGTTGGCCATGTAGCTCCAGGGCTGGTAGTGGGACTGCACTAGAGCTCCAGACTTGCAGATGAGGTTGAGCCAGGAGACCAGGCGCTGCTCGTTCAGTGCCATGCACACCAGCGCCTTCAGCTCCGAGTCCGCGCTGCGCTTGAAGGGGCCGTGCTCCGTGAGCACCGTGTGGATGGCAGCCAGCAGGCTCTGCTTGGGGGTGGTGGCCACTGCTCCTGTCACAGGCAAGGCGAAGGACTGGGAGAGCTTGCGAGCCGGGGATTCCACGAAGGCTTGTCCGTTCTTAGCATTGTAATACTTGACAAAGAGCTCCCAGGGGTGCATGGTCCGCGGCGAGGGGCTGAACGCGGGGATCAAGCACGCGATGGGTGCCAACACCAGGCTCATGCCAGGGGAAGAGGCGTAGAGCCCGTGAGCCATCAAGTCCCGCAGAGCCACCGTCAGCTCCCTGCGCACAGCCAGAGTCAGCTCGTCTCTGCCTCCCAGGGGAACGTCCTGCAGCTCAGAGCAGACAACCTGCTCCGCCTGTTGGTGTTTCAAGGCGAGCTGCCTCACCCGCTCCACCGACAACTCCAGTTTCTTAATTAAGGGGGAGAAGTCCTTGTTGTCTTGGTCCTTCTGCCAGAAGGTGCGAGGGATCTGACCTGTGGCACAGCCGAACTGGCTGACGGCAAAGATCTGCAGCACAGCCAGCACACGGCGCATGAGCTGCAGGCCCGTTTCTCGCATCCTTTTGGCATCTTCTGGGTTCACTGACCAGGTTAGAAAAGAGAAAAACATACTCTCGTTAGGGAGTCAACAGCGCTGCTTGTTCATACGCACAAAGGGAGTGTAAATGCCTGCAAATTCCATCAGGCCAACATTCTGACTAGCAGCAGATCCCTCATGCTACACTACTTAGTTCCAGTAAGTTCGTGGGATAAGTAGGGAAGTCTCAAACTGAAGAACACTGGATCCCCCCAGCTCACAGTACCTGCTTACAGAGTTCAGAGCTTGAAGAGCATGAATTAGAGTGCATCAGACAGGGCTGCTCGGTCTGTCTGCGTTTTGCACTGTCAGCAGTCCCTTCTCTTCCTGACCCCTGCTGAGTACCAATCCCACCCTCCCTGCCACACGTTCAGGCCCTGTGACTACTATAACGATCACATAGAGGGAGGGTAAAGGAACTGGACACAGGCCCTCAGCAGTGGGACTGGGGAAGTACAAAGACCAACTGCCAGGAAAAAGCAGAGTATGACTGGTTTGTGCCTGTCAAAGCTCCAGGGAGGGACAGCCAGAACTGTGCTAGCAGTGCCAAGCCCAGTGGTGCCCACCTCTGTTCCCAGAAGGCTGGGTGCTGGGTTTGTAGGAGCCCCCGCAGTCACAGTGTCCATCTTCCGCCTTACCAGAGCTTCCAACTTCATCTACAACAAGGATTTCACACCATTATTTCACATTTATGAATTTCAGCTGTGCATACAGTATTAAGGTCAACATTCCTCTGACCTCTCTGGACCTCTTTTGCCACTCTGTCCTTTCCCTCACCATCAGTTTAGAGAGATTTGTACTTTCCTGTGACCCAGAAGCTGTTTCCAACATCTGTGACCTCCCTCCTCATCACTGTGTCAGGGAATTACACAGCAATTCAGTCTGCTCATCCAAAACCTCATCACTGACCCTGAATGAAGTTGATGAACATTTCGAGGTCCCTTATCTGGGTCTTCAGTTGTTCCACCAGCTGCTCCTTCACCCTGGCTGGATTTACAATCTGTGCTATGGCAGCATCCACCCGCTGCCGCAGTTCCTCTGGGGAGAGCGTTGCAATATCTTCACTCAAGTCCATGTCCAGCTTTTTTATCAACTCATTTATAATCATCTGCAAAATACGAGTGAGCAGCATGATTTCACCATGTGGCACTGCTGCCCAGGATACTCCTTTCCCAGACACTCGCTTGGAAACAGGATGCCTCTGCTGCACAGAAATAATTGCAAAAGACACAGGACAGGTTCACATGTGTAGAAAAACTCCTGACACTATTTCAGCTGCTAGCAAGAAATACAGATTGATAACCACCTACAGTCTGTAATCCCTCACAAGGGCTAGGAAATGCAGGAGGTTTTGTGAGCCTTACCCGTTGCCTTTCCATAACCACAGACTGTGGCAAAGAGTCATAGCTGCCCTCTTGGTAAGCAAAGGTCTCCAGGTCATCCAGCTGTGTCTTGAGCTGCAGGATCAGCTCTCTGTGCTTCTCCTTCTGGACCTCAATTTGTTCCTGCTTCTCTCGCTCACCCTAAAAAAAGTTACAAGTAAATCAAATTGAAGGTTTATTGTCATAGTCAGGCCCCAGAGAACAGGATCATGACATGAGGAATGGTTCCTGCAGCTCATGCACTTCACTTGTGAGCACTGCAAACCAGCCTGAGAAAGAAATGTGTCTAAGCACCAAGACAGCCACATCACCTCATCTGACAAGGGAAGGAAAGTGCTTCTCCAGGCCTCCTGCACCCACACCCCATCCCGCAAGGCTGGGATCCAGGAAGAAAGTGGCCAAATAACGTGTGTGTAAATAACATGTTCATATCACAGATCCTCTGACTCACCTGTGCCGTAGGTGGGAGTGGAGCGGTGACACACCACTCAGGGCTTTAGGGCACGTCCCTGCGAGCTGGCACCGAGTCAGCAGGGCCCTGAGTGTGTCTGGCACCGATTTCTGTGCAAACACCAGCACTGCGGGCAGCGCAGCTGCTGAGCCCCCGCCCGGCAGCGCTAAACAGGGCCTTCACCCGGGACAGCGCACTAGAAGATGCCGGGGCGGCAGCGCGGGGCCCAGGACCACGGACGCGGTACCGCGGCGCCGGTGCCTCTCTGTGCCAAACCAAGGCCCCGCTCCGCCCGGCCGCGGGCACTCACCGGGGCGCGCGCTCGATCCCGTGGGGCAAGCGGCGCGGGGCAGCCGGCGAATGCGAATGTCCTCGAGTTTCGCGGAGCAGGCGCTGCTGCTCGGCCGGGCCCGGCCCGGCCACTGCGCAGCCGGGTGAACTGCACCTGAGCGAAGTGCGAGGCGAGCGCCAGCAGCGCTCCGGCAGCCGGCGCCGCGTCGCCCGCACCGCGGCACCGACTGCCGGCGAACCGCGCCTGCCCACTTCGTCCCTCGCTCCTCTTCCCTCCTCTGCCTCCTCTTCCTCCTCCGCCGACACGGCGCCCCCACGGGCGCCCAGCGCTCCGCCGGGGGCCCAGGCGGCGCCCCGCCCTCCGCCTCCATGGCCGCCGCTACCGGCGCGTGTAACCGGCCGCCATCTTGCCGGGGGGCGGGGGCCAGGGCGGGGCCAGGCGCGCCCCTCGCGGCCCGGTGGGGCCGGGCACAGCGGGCGCGGCCGGGCCAGGGCTTGTCCGCGCGTGCCCGCCCGGCCGGCCCCCGCTCCCGGCCCCGCTCCCGGCCCCCCGCTCCCGGCCCCGCTTCCCGACCCCCGCTCCCGGCCCCGCCTCAGCCCGCGCCCCCCACCCAAAATAGCACAGGGCGGAGCGGCACGAATCAATGGGCGAGGTAGCCGCGGTCGGAACGGGACAGGCACAGCGCCGGCACGGCGACCCCGGTTCCCTGGCCGGCGCACCGCCAGCGGACCCTGCGACCCGGGCAACCGGCGTGGGGGCGCTGGAACGGTGGACGGTCGGCGTCCCTCCCGCCAGCCGGTCGAGGGGCGTGCGGGGCGGCGAGGGAAGCGACGTGTGCCCCCCGGCCGGAACCCGCCCGGAACCCGCCCGGCTCCCCCTGCCAGCCCCGGGGCTCGACCCAGGCAGGGCCCGCGTCCGGGGCCCCTTCCTCGCCCCTGTCCCCTGTGCCCCCTGCGGGCCCTGCAGAGCGCTGTTGGACACCGGGGGAATGTCCGCTGGTGACACCCTCTGGTCTGCTCTTCCCCAAGGCAACCTGCAAAGACACTGTGGTACGACCGCCCGCGGTATGTGTACCTGGAGTTTTGTGTCGAGGACAGCACAGACGTGAAGGTCGTCATCGAGGACCAGCGGCTGGTGTTCAGGTGAGCAGCCACTGCCCTGCTGACTGGCGACATGGCCTGAACTGAGCGTTGTTTGGAGGATAGGGAGGCCTCTGAGAGAGCAGGGCACGCATGGCCTCAACCATGTCCTAAGCCAGGCTGTTACGGTGTTTTGGCAGTTGCAAAAATGCAGACGGTGTGGAGTTCTACAACGAGATCAACCTATATGCCAGAGTCAACTCTAAGGTGAGGCTTCCCCCCAACAAACTGTTCTCCACCAGCCTCTATAAGGCTCAGAGTCAGAGCCAGCCTGTGTAGTCTTGAGCAATGCTGCTTAGCGTTGAATCCTGCCTGTGTCCCGAGAGCTTCAGTGAGGTGAGCACACACCTGAGAGCCCTGACCCTGCCCAGGGCTGGTACTTGGGGTGCTGGCTTGAGCCAGAAACAATGTGTCTCCGTGGTTCTTTATCCACCTCAGTCTGTGCGGGGCTGAGCTTTATAACCCTGTCTAGCTCTGCAGAGAGGAGTCTGACAGACACTTAGGTGAGGCACTCTGATCTCTTGGCAGGACTCAAGGGAGAAGCGCTCTGACCGGTCCATCACATGCTTTATGAGGAAGTGGAAGGAGAAAGTGGCCTGGCCACGCATCACCAAGGAGAACATCAAGGTGTGTGTGGTGCCTGGCAGCCAGGACCAGCCTCAGCACATGTCCTGTCCCCATGCAGCACCTCGTGGCTCCCAGGGACCAACCTGCCCCTGGGACAGACACAGAGGGCCCCACGGGGGACCCCAAGACAGAGTTCCCAAAAAACCCAACCTGACAATCACTGCTAGTCCACAAATTAGTGCAATCCAGGAAGGATGCAGCACCTCTTTTCCTCGACACAGGCAGGGTCAGGACCGGTGCCTGCAGGCAAAGGGACATCCCTGCTTCTTGCCTCTTCCCAGGCCCTGTGCAGGAGCAGCCCATGGGCTGTGAGTCCCTGTGGTGTTGCTCCCCCCTTCAGGGGATGCTTTCTGTGCCCACAGCCGGCCTGGCTCTCTGTGGACTTTGACAACTGGCGAGACTGGGAAGGTGATGAGGAGGTGGAGAGGGCCATGGTGGAGCAGTACGCAGAGGTGAGCTGGGCTGCCAGCTTCAGGGTCCAGGGGCACGTCAGATGGGTGCTTGGGATGAGGGGGAGCCAGCTGTTTGTTTCCCATCCAGATGCTGGAGAGGGTGACAGACAAAGGCCCCCCACCAGCCATGGATGACCTGGATGTAAGTACCACCTGCCAGCTACTTCCCACTACCCTGCTGAGCAGAGCCCGGGCTCTGACCTCTCCCGGCTCCAGGACAGCAGCAGCAGCTCGTGCTGCTCCCCTCGGGCAGCCTGTTGCTCCCCTCGGGCAGCCTGTCTCGGAGCCAGCGCAAACACGCTCCCCGGGCTGCCAGGGGCTGCCGGCCGGTGCAGGGCTGGCCCGGTCCCTGGCATCTCCCACTTCTCCCACAGGACGACTGAAGTCCGGGCTCCCGGGGATGCCGCGGCTGCAGGAGCCTCCCAACGCGCCGGTAGCACGCACCGATGGACAGGCAGCGCGGACAGGGTTTTCCCGAGAGAGCACGAGCTGCCTACAGCTTGTTGCCCGGCTTGTGCAAGAAGCACCGACCACCGGGCGGCAAGAAGCGGTCCGTTCTGCCGTGCCCGGTTACCCGCGCGGGGCAATGGGGCATAATTAAACGTGTACTGCGCAGTCGTCTGCTGTGCTCCGGGAGCCGTCCGTCCCACGGGGGAATCCGATCTTCCCCGCCGGCAGCTGCGGCGCGCCGCCGCCGCGGGAGCGCGCTCCGCGCGTCACCAAGCCGGCACGGCCGCTCGCCGCTTCACGGCGCTGCTAGCTGGCCGCCTTACGATTGGCGCCGCTGTCCGTGCCGGGCGGCCGCGATGGTGTTTCCGTGTGCCAGCGGGACGAGCCTGGGCCAGGGGGGTCCAAGGTACGCGGCCGCGGGGCGCGGGGCGGCCCTCGGCCCCTAACCGCCGACCCACTGTACGGTGCCTCGCCGTGTCTGTACCGCTTCTAGTTGCCACACGAGGGTGGTGTCGTTGCCCAGGCGGTCGGAGCTGCGGCCCGAGGGCGGCGTAGGGAGCCGGATGCGCGGGTTCCAGGTGGTGCTGGAGGACACCATCCTCTCTCTCCCCGAGGGGCGGCGGGTCAGGTAACGGTACGTTGGCCGGGCCGGGCCGGGCCCGGGCGGGGGCCGGGCCGGGGTCGGCGGCGCTGACCCCTCGAGTGTCTTCGCAGCCGGACGATCGCGGCCTTCATCGGGGACGTGCCGGTGCTGCGCGTGGCCCCGGCGGCGGACCGCGAAGGCCGTGCACTTCGTGCCGGCCGCGCTGGAGCCCGGCGCCGAGGTGCTGCTGTCGCTGGACTGGGAGCGCCGCTTCGACCACATGCAGCAGCATTCAGGTCCGTGCCGGTACCGGGGGGGTGCCCGGTAACACCCCGGTTACCGTGGGCGGGGGGCGGTCAGTGCCCAGCGTGTCCCCGCCCCGGTCGGGGCAGGGGGATGCTCGGCAGCTCTGCGTGCACAGTCTGTCCCCGGCGCCACTTGGGACAGCAAGTGCCCCCTGCGAGCTCTCCCTGGCTTGTAAACAAACCCACCGAAAACAGGTTTGGAAGGAAGAGTTCAGCCCCTGAGGGCAGGGCTGTCTCCACTGCTCCTCTGGGTGCCGGTAGGAGCCCTGCAGCACCCAGTGCTCGCCTGTTGTGGGGAATGTCAGTGGGACATACACAGTGTGACTGAAAATACCAGTGGCACTCAGAGCTGGTGCTTGCATGTCTCTTCCAGGACAGCATCTCATCACTGCCATTGCAGAACAGATGTTTGGATTCAAGACAACTTCATGGTGAGCAGGATAAAGGTTCCTTTTGACCCCAGTATTACCTTGTTTGGTACGTCCCACCATGCTGGGCTCCACGGAGCCTGAACATTAATACACCAAAAGGAGTTTGGACATTTCATTCAAGTTCAGAGGTCCTGCCTGGGAGAGGTGACTGACCTGGAGAGAAGCTGTACAAAGTGTTTGCTCTGTCTTGTCCTCCTCAAGTGTTTGGTTTGCACCTGGTGCTCTGAACAAAGCAGGGAGAGAAGTGTGTTTTGTTTCAGTCACCACATTCCTGGCAGTGGGATGCTGGTGCTGCACAAAGGGACCTCCTGGATGGTCTGAGCTACAGCAGCAGATGTTCTTCCCTGGTGCAGGGAGCTGGGCCGTCAGCGAAGCCTCATTGAGCTGGACACCCCCTCAATGACAGCAGAGCAGGTCAAGGCCCTGGAGAAGAGCGTGAATGAGAAAATCCGGGACAGGGTCCCTGTGACAGTGAGGGAACTGGCTGCAGATGACCCTGAAATTGAAAGAGTAAGTGATGGGAGAGAACTGATGGTATTCGTGGGACCAGAATAACTGAGCATGGATGTCACCCTGTTTGGCACTGTTCTCCTCTGCCAGGTGAGGAGCCGGGGGCTGCCCGACGACCACGTGGGGCCAGTGCGTGTTGTGGACATCGAAGGCATTGACTCCAACATGTGCTGTGGGACTCATGTCTCCAACCTGAGTGACCTGCAGGTGGGTGGTCACAGCCGAGCTGCCTCTGGGAGCCACACTCCACATAGAGCAATGTGTGGATTAATCAATTAAAATTGATTTTAATCAATTTATTTTCACTGGCAGAGAGTCAGTATTCACCACAAGGCATAGTCTGGTAGGAAATGACCATCTGTGTATATAACTAAAATGCTGTTCTGACCAGCGTGATTTTCTTTTTAAGGTTATTAAGCTCCTTGGTGTGGAAAAAGGGAAAAAGAACAAAACCAACTTGATTTTCTTGGTGGGAAACAGAGTGCTGAAATCAGTTGAACAAAGTCACAGTACCGAGAAGGCTCTAACCTCCCTGCTCAAGTAATAACCTTTCCACTTCTGTTATTTCATCTTTATTCTTTCTCCTGACAGATACCACATAAGCTTCAGGGTACAGCTCCTGGGGCTGTGTATGATCTGCTTTTGCTCCTTTAGGAAATCCTTCCTTTGTCCTTCATGATGATCCAATGATCTAAATTCTCCCTGTTCTTTCAGAAATGGACCAGGTGAGCATGTAGAGGCTGTGAAAAGACTGCAGAGCTCTGTGAAACTGCTCCAGAAGGTACGAGAATGGCTTGGAAAAGTGGGTTGTGTGTGCTTCGTGCAGACCTGAGCTTTAGTTGTGGTAACTGGGAATTGAATCGTAGGCCTCAGTTTTTGTGGATATTATGAAAAGTGCTCTAACCTCTAGGAACACAACTGTATTCACACTGACAGTACAGTTCATTTGCTTTTCTTTCAGAATAACCTGAACCTGCTTAGAGACATTGCTGTTTTGATAGCTCGGGACTTCAAGAGCAAACCTGCTCCAAGGCAGCTCTTTGTGTTACACAGGTACAGAGGAGCTCAGGGAAAAGGGGCCAACAGTATCTCACATGTATTATGGCAGTTGCCTTTCTCACACCTATTCAGGCTCGTTTTCTCAAGGAAAAGTATAAACGAGGTGAACAAAATATTAAACTGCCTCAGCCTGCTGCAAAGCTCTGTAATTGAAGGAATCTGTTGGTAATTCAGTCACTGACTTCTGGTTTTGTAGCTGAGAAATGACTGCATCCATCTAATTTCTCTCTGCCCTTGATATTTTCAAATAAAACTAGGGAGCTCTATTTCTTAAAGATAAACACTTAAGTAATTCCTAACATGTCCACAGGAATGCCCAACAAGGATTTAGATATATGGACAAAACCTAATCTCTATACTAAGTGCAAGAGGCCAAAACCCCTGATCAGGCCATTGGTTTCTGATTGAGATTTTTTATTCTAGAGGGTTTTTTTCCTTCCTTTTGAAGTGTTTTTTTTACCCATCCATACAGGAAAGAGGGTGATTCTGAATTTATGAACATCATCGCTAATGAGATTGGGACAGAGGTGAGTTGGTGATGAAGACTGACCTGACACCACTGGTTTTCCACCTGAGCTATACACAGACAGGGGCTGGTCAGGCTGCTGCTCTTGCTGCAGTCATGAGCTGCAGGTCTGGTTCCTTTTGACAGTTACCTGAGGTTACCTGTCCCCAGCAGCCTCAGTCTGCAGGGAAATCCTCAACAGTGAGAATTCAGAGGACTGGGGAAGAGCCTGACCCCCAAAGCTGCACCAAGCCTCATTAGAAAGGATGGGATGGGATAGGATAGGAATACAATAGAAAGAGTAGCCTGTTTCAGTTGGAAGGAACCTACAACACTCATCTAGTCCAACTGCCAACTGTATCCTTTTAATTGAGGACATCCCAGTACCATGTTGTCCCAACAACATATGACAGAACCAAAGGTTCAGAAGCCACTTTCCTTTTACTTTTTTCAAGAAATCTCTGTCTCAGTAACACACATAAACTGCTGAATTGTCAGTGTGGTGTTTCAGTCCTGTGGCCAGTGTCTGTCCTTTCCCTGAACAAGGAAAGCAGTAGTTAATCTACAGCAGCATCCATCTCTGTCCACAGGAAACTCTGCTATTCCTGACTGTGGGGGATGAAAAAGAAGCAGGACTCTTCCTTCTAGCTGGACCTGCTGAAGCAGTTGAGAATTTAGGTCCCAGGTAACGTGTTTTGTGGTTTGTTTAACATGAATTCTGACGTTGCAGACTGAGCAGCTACACAGTGGAATCCGGGCACAGATCCATGTTTGCTGTCAGGAGCAGGTTGGGCTGCAGCCTGTGGTGTTGTTGCTGCAGGGTGGCAGAGCTGCTGGGAGGGAAAGGAGCTGGAAAGCGTGACCGCTTCCAGGGCAAGGCAGCCAAGATGAGCCGTCGGGGAGAAGTGGAAGCTCTGCTCCAGGAATTCATCAGCCATCGAAGCCCTGAAGTGTAAGAAATAATTCTCAGAGTAGGGCTTCCTTCCCTGTTTTGCACAGACCCCACTAACTTCTCTCCTGGAGAATAAAGACCTGAACCCAAAAGCTGGTGTGCACATGCTCTGTGCAGGCTGGTTTGGTGCTCACAGAAGTGGGGAGGGGATCTGCAATCCGTGCTTTGCTGCAGGGGCTCTTTCATTTCCCCAGCCAAATGGTACAGGGGTTAAAGTAGTCCTTAGTTTACCACTTCGTAAGGTTACTAAAACCAAGAGGGGCCTCCAGCTGGCGGTGCATTGGGGCCTTTTGCTTTGCACCAGTTGCTGAGGAGCAGTTGCTTTGGCAGTAACACTCAGCAAGAGGCCACTGGTCCTCCCTGACACCTTGGCCTGCCCAGGGACAGAGAGCACCCAGAAGGGAGAGTGGGTGGTCCACAGGCAGGAGGTTGTTCCCCACCATGTACCAGTCCTTTCCCTTGTTGAAGTGCAGTTGTTATTGGTCCTTCTTTGAACATTGAGAGTTTCTTGGGCTGCTGCAGTTACAAACTCCCTTGGGATCAGGCAGCCCTGTTCCCAGTGTTCCCTAAGCTTGCCTTTCTAGCCCGGGCAGGCCCTGAAGCTGCTGCAGTCTCAGCTGGAGGAACTAAATGGTGCTGTGGAGCCACAGTGGGGCACAACAGGTAATTTGGGGGGGGGGGTTTCCCTCCTTTTTGCTAGAAGTGACATGACAGGTTCACTTTAGATGTTGGTAATAAACAGAGAAATAGAATAAAAGAAACCTCCATCCTAAGGAAGTTTATCTGTCATGAACAAAGGGATGGTGAACCCCAGCACATGATGTTCCCACATGTGGCTGCTGTGGCTGCTGCAGGGCCACAGGCCATGGCCCATGGCTGAGCTGTTGGGACAGTGTCAGCACACAGGGAACACCACAGAAACTGGAGCTGGGTGTAGGGTCAGTGCTGCAGGCACTGGTTGTTTGGGGGAGATTCTGCAAGTGCACACACAGAGTCTGGCAGGAAGAAAATATCTGGACTTCCATATCTATTTTAGACTATATCAGGCTGAGCGAGGATGTGTAGTGAAGGAGTTAATTGCCAGGCTGTACAGCCTGCATGGCTTGAAGCTGGAGGGAGCATGGGACCACCACGGGGGGCCAGGATGCTGATACCAGGGGGGTCAGGATGCCAGGGCTGGGGGAGCAGAGCTGCTGTGACCCCATGGGGCTGGGAGAGCAGAGCTGCTGTGACCCCATGGGGCTGGGGGAGCAGAGCTGCTGTGACCCCATGGGGCTGGGGGAGCAGAGCTGCTGTGACCCCATGGGGCTGGGGGAGCAGAGCTGCTGTGACCCCATGGGGCTGGGAGAGCAGAGCTGCTGTGACCCCGTGCTGATGCAGCCGCTTCCTGCACCCGGGCAGAGCTGGCACTGGGGCTCGTGGTGGCTGGGGGCTGTGCCAGCACTGACCACCCTGAGCCCAACCCCGCAGCACAGCCAAATGCCAGCTCTGTCCCCACACCCTGGGAGTTCAGCACAGCCCCAACCGAGTCACTCAGTCTCAAAGCTGAGCTTGTTTCTGTAAGCAGCAAGGTGACACGAGTTTGTCCCTGTTCTTGCCACAAGGTGCACCCAGAAGCTTTGGATAAACAGCACAGAAAGCATCTCATCCCTTGCCCCACCTGCTGTGCTCTCAGTGTCTGACTGCAACCAGGGGTGAATGGCAAAGACCCAGGACACCTGGCAGTGCCCTTCCCAGTGATTTGAACATGTTTTGCAGGTGTTGGTGTTTCTCATCACTCAGGACAGACGTCCTTCCTCCACCACCCACAGTCCATGCCACAGCCCTGCACCCAGGAGCTGATCCTGCATCCCACAGCACAGGCCAGCAGAACACTCGAACTCACCAGCTAAACACACCTTCAGCTTTAATAAAATACCTCCTGTGCACAGCCACACCCCCACGTCATGTGTGTATAGATACATGTATGTATGTACACACACAGGTGTACGCTCACCCCACACTGCATCACAGCAGCGAACACCGAATGCCCCAGGGCTGAAGGGTCCCTCGTGCTGGCACTTTATCTCCATGTCACAGTGTCTGCCCGTTCCTGTCACAGAGCTGCCTCGCCAGCAGACCCCAGGCACCCAGGGGTGAGCACCCTGCTCCCGGTGGTGCTGTCCCCAGCCCTGCAGTGCGGAGCTGACGTGTCCCCATGAGCTGCAGAGGGAATGCAGGATCTCCCCACTGCTGCTGCTGGGTCCCATACCTCCACCCGTGGGTGCAGGAGGGGCAGCAGGGGAGTCCTGGGAGTGCAAGGCTCGCTGTGCCATCAGCAAGGGCACGACTGAGACTGTGGGTCTATGTGGTGGGAGCCACCCGGCAGCGCCGCCAGCCCAGCCTCCACAGTCCACTCCCAGTGCAAAATCAGCAGGGAGTACACAGTGGCTGGGGTGCACCAGGGCTAGTGGGTGCCCCTGAGACCAGGGCTAGGGTGGCCACTTGCCTGGGCACGATTACCTGCAGGGATGCCCTAGGCAGCCTTCTTGTCCTGTGTGGCCATGAGGTGGGAGAGGCAGTAGGGGATGAGGCTGACAGTAGCCAGTGGCACAGCTGCACTCTTGCAGAAGGAGAGGGCGTAGAAGAGCAGCTGCATGTGGGAGGGTGGCTTGAAGGCATCAAAGATGTGGAGGATGAGGAGGGAGGCAGTGACACAGCCCAGGCGGAAGGGTAGCTGCTGGCCCTGCTTCCCCTGGCAGCTCTTCTTGTACATGTGGGAGTTGACAGCCAGCCCCAGCCCAAAGAGGATGCCCAGGTTACGGAGGAGGCTGGCAAAGGGGGTGGTGTCGATGTGGACCCACTCAGGGCGGCTGCACCACCTCCGTGCCTTCTCCAGTGTCCAGAGCAGGTCCACGCCAAGCACCCGCAGCAGCAGGTAGAAACCAATGGTGAAGCTGAAGAGGAATAAGGTGATGCCCGTGTACCGATGGAGGCTGGCGTGGTAGATGCAGCGCACATGCTGAAAGGTCTTGGCCACAGCCATCCCTGCCAGTAACAAAGCAGGAGCACTGGTCAGTGCTCAAGGTACTGCAGTCCAGCATGGAAGAGCCGCAGGGAAGGGCATGGGGGATCTGATGCACTTACCTGAGAAAACACCTGCGATGACTTGGTGGGGGAAGTGAGCGGCAATGAAGACTCGGGACAGGCAGACGCAGACCTGAACTGCCCAGAACCCCGTCCAAAGCACCATCCACAGCACCCTGTGAGGGGCAGGTGGCTATGTTGGTGCCAGAGCCAGCTTGCACTGCTTGTGGCACTGCCATCCCACACCTTAAACAATGCCTGGCTCTCTGCCAAGCCCATCCTCATGCAGACCCCACCTGGGGTGCCACAGCCTGTCTATCTGTCCACAGCCTTGTGCCTTGATGGGCTTGGCTGTGCCAATCAGTGCTGGAGCTGCCTCTGCCCAGCACTCTGCCCAGGTTGTTCTGGTGCACAGCTTACCAGTATCCGGATGTCCTTGACTGCTTCTTCCCACGAGCAGCAGAGAGGAGGGCCACCACCATGACGTAGTACACACCTGCTGCACCCATGGCATGGCCAGACGGGCTCCCTGGGCAAAAAGAGAGCCCCGGGTCAGACCTGGTGTGGGCCAGAGCTCACCACAGGCAGGGTTTGTGCTGAACCACCACATCTTCACCAAGGGTCAAGGTCTGCTCTGTACAGGGACTTCCCTGCCTCCCCCCACTGCGGGCACAGCTGGTGTGCCTGGGAGCACAGCAGTAATGGCCCTCTCTCAAGAGCTGGCCAGGACCACGTGCCACTGGTGGGCTGCCAACCGTGACCCTGCCCAGGCCAGCACCCCCCTCCCTGCATGTGCAGGTCACCCTGGGCAAGTACCCGCTGCCCCAGCTGGGGCTGGGGGACCCTACCAGGGCTGTGGGACCCTACCAGGGCCAGTCTCGCAGGTGAGCGGGAACTGCTGGATCTCTGGGGCAGAGGTGTTGTTGTAATAGTCCGTGTCGTGGACCCACCAGTATGGTCTCTCTCCAAAGAGGATCCTGAAAAGAAAGGAAAATGGGGTCTGAGGAGGTTTTGGGCACAGCTGCAGCTTCAGCTCTGTCCTGGGAGCTGGAAGAAGCAAAGGACCCACAAGTGGTTGAGGGCATCCTGACAAACACAGCATACAGCTGGTCGCTTGGTTCTGACAGCTGACACTGCCTGTCCATGTCCCCATCCCCGGCCCTGAAGGGGAAGAGCAAGAACTTCCTGGGTGCAAGTCAATGCAACCTCCTGTGCCGAGGGACTCTGTGCAGCCCCTGCTCAGCACCACAGTCCTGGCTGATAAGCAGATTCTGTTTGTAGAAGGCTCCATCTCTCTGCCTGGCTCTGAGAAGGGGGGAGCTGTTGCTGCACAGCTTGGGAAGGAGCAACCATTGTCACTGCCCAGCTGGGAGCTGAACTCTGTCCTTTGTTCTACCCCAGCATTGGAGCTGAGAGCACCCAGCTGGCCCGCATTAGTCCAGCTGTGCCAACACACTCGGAGGGAGCTGTGGCTCAGGGCCACTCACCACTTGAAGACAAGGTTGAGCCAGTCTCCGATCACAGCCACCCAGATGAGTCTGATGCCCACTGCCTCACTGAAGTGGAACCAGATGGGGAAGAGGACAAAAAAAGCGTTCCTGAGGTCAGCAGCATAGGAGATGAAGAGGAACAAGTCCTGGGAGCCCTGGAAGTGCTGCTGCAGCCAGTGCGTTGTCCGGATGCCCACGTCGTGCAGGAGGTTCATGTTGGCCTCCATCCTCCTCTGCTGCCCCTGCCCTGGGCTCGGCTCCGGCTGCCCCACGCTCCGCTCTGCCGCTGGGGTTTTATAGTCTGCTGAGTCTTGTTTGCTGTGGGCAGGTCACTGTCCCAGCACTGATCTTTGGACTCAAAACCACTTTTGCCAAAGGTGCATCACCGGGGGGGGGTTGTTACAAACATGTTTGGAATAACTTACATAAAAGGGAAAAACAGGCTCTGAGGGCACGTGGAGCACAGGGTGCTCCAGCAACAGCGCTGGCCCCTGCCCCACACTGTCCCCTCACGCAGGGGAATCCTGCAGCCCCAGCTCCTCTGGTCACCCAATACAACAGCTCAGCTGCTCCAACTGAACTGCAGCCTTTGCTCCGTTATTGGTGTGACAGCCCTCCAGAGCTGCTGTGCCCGGGGTTGATGCTGCTCCCACCTCTCTGCCATCCCCCTGTGAATCACCACCAGACCATGCCAGGGGCGCCCAGGAATGTGGAGTGGGTACATGAAGCAGAGGACAGGCTGCCTACCCCCTCCTCATTTGCCAGGCTAATTTAACCAGGACTTCACATAATGGAAAACTTTCCAAGCCATTCCTGGAGTTCCCCGCAGCCACAGACAGCCAGGCTAGGGGTGCTCCTGGCTGCCAGCCATATTCTTCTGGTCTCTGCTGTGGGGCTAAAGAACCTTTGCAAATAGGGAGGGCATTCCTCCTCCCAGCACCACTCTGCTGTGTTAATCCCTCCTGCACCATCAGACCCTGGCTGAGGGGACAGAGCCAAACATGCCACTCATCCCATGGTACTGGATACCAGCCCTTGGCTGTTCCCTCAACCCCAGCCACACCCTTTTGTCACTGGTAGCACTGTGGGCACCACAACTTCATCATCCACAACCGCTGTTGCATGAGCATGCAGCTTTGTGGCAGCAGCACAGTGCTCAGCTACCCCCTGCCACACCTGAACAGGCAGCTGCCCACGATGGGAGCAGGCAGCTGCCCACAATGGGAGCAGGCAGCTGCCCATGATGGGAGTAGGCAGCAAGGTGTTAGTGATCAGCAGCCAGTGGAATGCATCACTTATTTCCCTCGTGAGCAGACAGGTCAAGATCCTTGAACCGTTTCCATAAACTGTTTGCTGCTGTGAGAGTCATGTCCTGAGCCAAGTCCTGCCCACAAACAGCGAGGTTTACAGGCAGCATCCTGTCCCCCCTGCCCACGCAGAGCCCAGGGAGCCACGGGGTCCCAGCAAACCTTCCTCCCTGGGATACGGGCACGAATGGCCCGTGAGAGCAGCAGTGCAAATGCTGTGGGGTCAGCCCTGCCACAGGCACATCCTTGCCCAGGGCTGGTCCTCCCCATCCCTCCCAGCCCAGCCTCGCTGCATTCAAAGGGGACAGTCTGAGCTCCTGACCTACAGAACACCCCAACAAAACAGAAGCTTGCAAAGAAATGGAGTTACTCTTGAAAAACATATTCCCTAACTGCTCATTCCAGGGTCCTCAACTGAGAGTGGCTTTGGCCAGCATGAAGGAATGCAACAGACTTGGCTTCTGTGTCAAAAACATTTTGAAACCATCAGTAATAAATCCTCCATGGGAGATTTCATAGCAGAAAATGGGGCAAAATGCTCTGAGGGATGGGGACTAGCACTCCAGTCCACTTGGAAAGTCACTGCAGGAAACCTGGGGCTGCAGCAGGGAGAGACCAGGGAGCAGGACAGAAGCAATCACTTCCTCCCTCCCAGCATGGAGGACAGAGTGGCACAGCCCAGTACCCCCCTGTGCAGTGGCCAGGTGCACATGCCACGGGTCAGGTCTGTGCCAGAGCTGCCAGGAGGCATGCAGTGGTTTCCCAGCACTGCTCCGTGCCCTGCACTGTGGATAAAATCCCTGGTCCCAAAGTCACTGTGTGGAGCAGGGCCAGGTTGGGGCAGCAGGAGCTGCTGACCCCCTGGGCACTGAAGGGTTCTGCATCCTGGCCCATCTGACACCAGCTTGAGGAGCACCGTGCCAGGCTCCAGCTCACCCCCTGCACCAAGCAGCCACGCTGGCAGCACTGCTGGGGACGTGCATTGCAACCTGGCTGGGGAGGCTTCCTCAGGGGAGGAGTGGGGCCAGGCTGGGGGAACCTGATTTCTGCCCCGGGCCTGTGCACACTGAGCTCAGGATCAGCTGGCAGCCCAGGAGGAGCGTGCCTGCAGTGGCAGCAGCTGGATCTGGGACACAGAGCTCCAGATGGAGCTACAGCAGGTGCAGCACGAGCGGGTGCTGTAACACAGTGTGCTGCATGCAGTGCCAATGTTTGGTCCAGAACGTTCCCAGCTGGCTGCAAGGTCCGGGCCAGGCAGCAGCGGGTCACTGCCAGCACGGGACTGCGTCAGCAGGCAGAGTCCAGGCAGCACCGCGCACACGTGGGCACGCGGCAGAGGGCAGGATGCCAGCCAGACACGACCAAGACCTCAGAGGACCTCTGGGCACAGTGTCTGCTATCGCCCCAGGGCAGCCAGGGACCACTGCAGCCTCCCACAGAGACACAGCCTCAGCTGCTCACTCTGCACAACACCCCTGGGTGCTGCTGGGAGCTGAGGTGGTTCCCAGGGGAAAGTGCAGCTGCCATTAGGGCTTCTCAAGCCCCTTGCAGCACGGTTCTGGGCAGACCCAGCCACTACACTGAGGGGTCAGAGAGGATGGACACCCACCATGCCCCCAGGGACACCTTGGCTGGTGCTCAGCATCTGCAGCCACATGCCAGGACTGCCACTACCCTCCCCAAGCTCTTTGGTGCCCCATCCCAGCCTGGTACAGTAGGGATGGGTTCTGGAGCCTGCAGGATCCCACAGGTCAGGACTGCACAAGCAGCTAGGGGTGCAGGAGCAAGAGTCTTCGCACTGGGGTGGGGCTAAGCACCTTAGGCAGCAGCCAAGGCCAGAACTGATTAATGCTGCTCAGAACAGCTGTTACACATTAACTCCCTTGTTTGTCCCATATGTCCCAGCAGGAGCCTCCTACCAGCACCCTGGGCCCAGGAGCAGGGCTGGGGCACCCTCACACAGCCATGCCAGGCACTGTGCTGGGCGCTGTGCCAGCCCCCACAGCCCCTGGACCCCTGCAGAGCTGAGCCAGGGCCACCTCTTACAGGACACCAGTCTCCACAGCATCAGCCGTACTGGGGTCTCGCCCCAGCCTTAGGAGCCACAGCAGCACCTGTGAGCTACTCAGGTTTGGTCGGGGAAAGCACCCCAGTGCCCGTCTATTGGGAAGGGCAGACACGTGGCAGCCCAGCTCGGGCAGTGCCCCTCCAGGGGCCCAGCCGTGGGCTCCTCCCATGAGCTCCCAGTGAGCCCAGCACACTGTCCCTACCTGCAGAGTTGGCACTGCAGCAGCTGCCAGAGCCTGGCAGCACCTGGGCCCTGCAGTTGGGATGCTGCAGTGGCTGTAAGGCTGGGGAGGATCTTTCGGGCATCCTGGAGCTGCCACCTCCCTGTGGATGGGAGTGCCATCACACCGCTCGCTCCTGCCACCCTGGGCAAAACCTTGGGTGGACCGTGGCTCCAGGGGCAGCTGTGGCTCTGTGCCATGTGCAGCCCTGGCCGGCACTGTCACCCTGTGTGCACTGGTGTACCTTGGGCAGGTGGCAGGAGCCCTGTCTGAGTGGAGGGGGGCAGCTGTGGGCACCACACGGAACACAGGAGATCAAAAACTCACTCCTAGGGGTTGTTTTTCAGAGGTTTTGGTTGCACCTTTAGCAGCACTGCAGTGCTGAAATGACAGCTTCACCCACACCTTCAAAAACCAACCCTGAGCACATGGCACCCTGGGCAGGGGGAGGGCAGGTCCTGGGGTGGTGACAGAGCCCCTCCAGGCGCCTGCCCAATGCCTATATGGGTGGGGACCCGTCACACCCCACCAAATGGCGGTGCCAGGCTGACGTTGAGGAAGCCCCCAAAGTGGAAGAGGGGAAGGTGGGGGGCACATGCAGCAGTGGAGGGCAGGCAGGCGAGGGGGTTGGCCCCGCATGCCCTGGTGTCCTGCTCACTGCTGAAGTACACACTGCCAGGTGAGTCCACTGAGGGGTCCTCGTTGAAGTAGTTGTAGGGCCTCAGGAAAAAGCCAACACTGTTCCCCACGGCCACCGTGTTGGGGACGTCTTCAGCATGGGGGACATGCAGGAACCCCACGGAGATCCAGGCGACCAGGTCCTGGGCAGGAGAGCAAAGAGGCATTTATCAGGCTGAGCAGGACTCTTCCAGCCTGGCGGCTGCTCAGTTTGGCTCCAGGACATGTGAAGCCTCTGTCCAGGGCAGGAGCCAGGATAGCACCCACAGGGCTCAGCTCCTCTCCCCCCAGAGCCCCCGGCTTACCTTGTTGGTGATGGTCTCGTTGTTGATGAAGTCGGCGAAGGCGATGGTGGGCGTCCAGGGGTCATTCTGGTTGTAGATGCTGGTGCTGGTGGGCTCCTCCTCCTTCCGCTGGGTGACAGCCAGCTGGTACCTGCCAGCACAGGGAGCAAAGGGCTTTTCCATGCTGGCACAGGGCAGGGCAGCCATGGCATTGCTGGCTGGATGCACTGGTGAACTGGGGCTGGATGCATCCCTGGTGCATGCCAGGGGACCTGATCTGTCCTGGGGCAGGGAGGGAAAAGGCTGGCAGGGATAAGCATGGCAGTAATGGTCAGCAGCCCCAGCACCTTGGGCTTGCAGGGAATGCCTTACTGCCCTGGGCTTTTCCAGCATGCCTGAGAAACACAAATTGATCCAGGCAAAGATGCTGCTGCTCAATGCCCAACACAGTCCCTTCAGCCACAGCTACTTCTCAGCCATACAGATTCCCCAGCATGAGCTCTGTTAGTTCACCCTGGCAGCGAGACTGGTCTGAGCTTATCCCAAGCATTTTCTAAAACACATTCTGTCCTCAAGGGAAGATAACACAACCTGGGGAAGCCAGTGCTTCCCTTGGGAATTAGTCCTGCAGCTTGGTTCCCCACAAAGGGAAAAACATGCCATTTCTCTAAATTAGTCTGATCCAGGGTCAGATTCCTGCCTGTGACCTACCATGAGCAGACGTTATTGAGCAACTTTTCAAGGGAATTTCAGAGCCAAAACCCATGCATGTTCTCTGTTTAACCCTTCCCTGCAGCTTGGCACAGGCCTGCGCAGAAGTGGCAGTTCCCCCGCACCAGGAGCAGGAGGAGCCAGGGCTGCAGGGGTGAGTGGGGCAATAGGGAGTGGGAGCCAAGTGCTCCCCAGCCCTGGCACCCACCTGCCCCAGCTGACAGACCGCTCCATGGAGCTGTTGATGGGCAGGTGCTTCCCAGCAAAGCTGATGATCTGGATCCGGTAGCTGCGTGGGTGCCCCCACTTGTTGGGATTGGGGCTGGCAAAGGAGAGGTAGCGGGGCAGGGGGGCATTGAGCGGGAATGCTGCCTCATCCTCCCTCTCCAGCCTTTTCCTGCGGAGGTACGGACGCTCGATGGTGTTCTGCGTGCTCCAGGGATCTTTGATAATCTCATACTCCATGTCCTGGGTCTCCAGGAAGTTCAGCTGCCCTGTGAAGCAGAAGGGGAAACATTCTTGACCTCCACACCCCAGACAGAGCTGCAGGCCACAGTGAACCACAGCCATGAACAAAGGTGGTCAGACCTACCGTCGACATCGAGGTCCACCTTGTAGTGCATGTGGTGGAAGTGCATCGTTCCCAGCGTGTGGGGCCCAACCCTGTTGCCATAGTTAGTGCCTTGGCCATGGAGGAAGGAGGTGCTAATGTAGCCAGTAGCATGCACACGGACCTCCATGGCCCCACTGCCGTGGAACATGAAGTCCCAGATGTAGTCGTAGTTGACGAGCGTGGAGATGGTACGGATGACCAGCGTGTTTTTCCGCAGCCCACCATAGTAAAAGGACTGCGAGTCAGAGAAGTGGCGCCGCAGAGGGAGGGCAGAGTCGTGCTCAAAAATGCAGAGTGAGTTTTGGTTGGTCTTGGGAGTGTCTGACTCTGCCAGGTAGTGCCGGTCCACATAGGTCGCTGTGTAGGGGCAGTCGACGCCCTGGACCAGCTCGTAGGCAAACCTGCCGATGCCAAAGCTCCCGTCAAGGTAGCGGGTGGACATGCCCCCAGGGCAGTTGGAGCCATACAGGGCTAAGGCTTCCTGGAGACTCAACTCATAGACAATCCTCTCCCTCCGGTACCTGATGTCAAAGAGGCGTGGGCCAGAGTTGGGGTTCATGCCAAAGGTGATGCTCCAGCCCTGGTAGGTGACGCGATTGCCCCTGACGCTGTAGCGGGGACCCTGAGGCTCAAACTGCAGCGGACCCAGGGAGTCGGGTGGGTAGCGGGGCCTCATTGAGCCCAGCACTGCATCAGCCTGGGGCTTCTTGAGCCTGACGACCTCCAGTGTGCCAGCCAGAAACTCCTGCTCCAGATCCTCTGTGCTGGCAAAGTACTGGCCGTTGTAGAAGACTTTGCGCAGCTGCCAACGGGAGGCGTGGAGGTCCCTGTGCTCCACCAGCACCTCCAGCCCCACTGGTGACAGGTAGTAGCCAGTGCCAGCCACGTTGTGGAAAAGGACAAACCAGGTTGTGCGGTCACCAGACTTGAAGCCCCGTGGGGCCGTGGTGAGGATGGCCAGGTCGGTCCCGTCAGACTCGCAGCATGTGGTGAGGAATTGCGGCGCCTTTTTCAGCTCCCTCCGGATGAGGGTGTTGATATCCATGTACTCCTTGCCAGTAACAGGTCTGCGGTGGTATGGCACCTTCCCCCCGTACTTCTGCACCGTCACATCCCGGTGGTACGCCGGCATTGGCAGAGGACCCACCACGTACTCGGTGACATTGGGCTCTGGCTGGTTCCCAAAGTACAGCACAGCCAGTGCCTCTCGGGCGGGACGAGCCCCCCCGCCGTCCAGGAACCGCAGCACCTCTGCCTTGGCAGGGACCTGCAGGTCCACGGAGGCGATGCAGTTGTCCGAGGGTTTGGCACGCGAGGCATCAACCAGCTGCACCCCGAGGTTTCCCTGCAGGTACCGCACCACTTGCGCCATCTCCTCGGGTGTCAGGTCAGCAAAGACCAGGCTCTGGCCATCCTCGGTGTCCTCCTGCTCCACAGGCAGGTGCTGGCAGGTGCTGGGCGCCCTTCCTCTGGTCAGCAACAAGCAGACCAAAGCGAATATCGTGGCTAACGCCAGACCGAGGAGGACGAGCACAGTTTTCACGTTCATGCCTGCTGAGGCACCGAGTGCTCCTGCAGTCTGGCAGGATGCATTTCCAGTTGCAGAATCCTCCCAGTGACCCTCGGGAACAAGGGGCTGGGTTTGTTTTCCCCCCCTGTTTTCTCAGCAGGAAACAGCCTGGAGGAACTCGCAGGGAGGACGTGCAGAGATGTTCTCACACATTGCCAGGATTTGCTGGGAACCATAAAAGGCAACTTTGCACTGCTTTGCCAGCAGTTTATAGTTTTAAGTAAACTTAATGCTTGTGCATCTGTCCTTCCCTCTGGTCCCAGATCATACACTGCAGAGCTTGAAGGGGATGGATCCAGTCATTCCAGGGAAATAAATGCATCTCCCTGCTCCTCCTTCTTTTAACCCTGCAGATGCTGGGCAGGCAGCAGTGCCCGCAGAGACAACCCTTCCCCATGCAGAGCAGCGCTGGGCACAGCACCACGGCCTCATCCTGACACAGCCCCACCACCACCACCACCAGCATCGCCTGCTGCTGCCAAAATCCCCACGGTCCTGCAGCCGTGACAAAGGGGACAGACACTTGTCACTCCGCAAATGTGCCCCTGATCCTGAGCTACATCCTAGCACAGATGGGGCTGTGAGGAGGGGGACGAGGGCTCCAGAGCCTGACCAGCATCCTGGCAAACAGGCAGTGGCACTGGCCATGCTGCACTGCCAGCAGCCATGAGACCTTGCAAAGGTCCCCTTTGCATCCCTCCCCTGTGCTCAGCACTGAGTGCCTGAGAGCTGCAGTCCATGGGGTCCTGGCCCTGAACCCAGCCTTCCCCCAACACCCACAGGGCTTGGTGCCAGTGCCCCCCTCAGCCCCAGAGGCCTGGGGCACCCCAGCCCATCCCTCCTGCCCTCCAGCTGGACGTCCCCATGCCCTGACAGGCACCCAGTGCCACACTGCTGGGTTGGTTTGTGGGCACAGGGAACATGGCAGAGACCAGCATCACACCCCAGGAGACACTGCTGTGAGTTGTAAGAACGAGACACTCGAGAGCACTGGACCAGCACCATTTTCATTATTTTAACCTGAGATATGCACTACATAGCACTTATTTCTACAGCAGAGGAACAGGATTTTCCTCACTTTCCTCCTGAAACAGACTCAAACTCAGCAATTAACAGATAACACAGACTCCCATGTGGCATCATGCCAGGAAGATCACGCTTCCTTTTTCAAGAGCACTATTTCAAAAGCAATGATAAAATGTGAAGTCATTACACAACTGGAAATTGAGACAACTTCACTAAAATAAGAAAATCTGAGACAGAACAGTCAACCTGGTGTCTCTGACCACATCTCCTCACACCATCCTGTAGCACTAAAGCCTGCTCATGTTTTGAAAACCATCATAGGTGAATGGGGGAAAGTTTGGCAAACAAGAGGCAGTTTTGGGCAGGCAGGCGAGAGGGTTGATTTCACATGCCATGAAGTCCTGCTCACTGGTGAAAAACACACCATCGTGGGAGTATATAGAGGGGTCCAGGTCGTAGTAGTTGTAGGGTCTCAGGAGAAAACCAACCGAGTTTCCCACAGTCACAGTGTTGGGAATATCCTCAGAGTGTGGGATGTGAAGGAATCCAGTGGTTATCCAGGCAACCAGGTCCTAGGCAGGGAAAAGCCACAAGCCCAGGGTTAGTTTAGAAGCTGCAGCAGCAGTGACTGAAATTCACATGGGGCCATGGGGACTGACAGGAGAGAAGGAGGAGAACCCATAGGCACCAGGCAGCTGCACTCCCACACACTGAGCTCCCCCCTCCTGGGAAAGATCCCCTCCCTTCCCCCAGGGCCTGCCTGCAGCCATGGCCACAATATCTATCCAGCGGAAGGGCCCTTGCCTTGACCTCTGTGGCCTCACTCCAGCCTCACAGAGATTTTCCTGATGTTTTGCCAGCATTTCTCCACAGGGAGAAACAAGCTCCTGCTCTGCACGCTCTGATCTGCACACTCTCACAAAGCACTGAGCAGGCTTATGGAGAAGGGGATGCTCAAACCCACTTTCCTGGTTGCCCAGGGCTGCTGCTCTCCCAGCTGAGCATGCTGTCCCGTGGGCAACACCAGGGTTGCTCAGTCCCTGGGGCTCCCGTTGAGCCTGGGGATGGCTGTTACAGCTCCAGCCCAGGGGACCCCAGCCCACCTCGTTGGTGATGGTCTCGTTGTTGATGAAGTCGGCGAAGGCGACGGTGGGTGTCCAGGGGTCATTCTGGTTGTAGATGCTGGTGCTGGTGGGCTCCTCCTCCTTCCGCCAAGTGACAGCCAGCTGGTACCTGAGGACATGAAAAGAGACAGCCCCTTGAGTCAGGGCAGAGCTAAATCAGCTCCTGAAAGAGCCTGCACAGCACAGGCTTGCTCCAGTGGAGCAACCTCAGCCCAGAAGACTGTTTCCCTGTGCCTCCTCCATCGAGGGACATCCATGTGATGCCTTCCCATCTAGCAGAGCTGGGGAGTGTCTGAGAACCTGCCACCCCAGCCAGAACAGCCTGACCTTGCCCAGCTGATGGCCCTCTCCATGGAGCTGGCTTCGGGGATGTGGTCCCCTGCAAAACTGGTGATCTGGATCCTGTAACCACGCTGGTGGCCCCACTTGTTTTTGCTGTTGGCTGCAAAGTAGATGTATCTGGGCATCTTTGACTGGAGTCGGAAGGCAGCCTGGTCCTCTGTGTCCAGGACTTTCTTGGTGAGTCGTGGCCGCTCTATCTGCTGCTCTGGGCTCCAGGGAGCCCGTGTCATCTCAAATGCCATGTCATGGGCCACCAGGGAGTTTTTCAACCCTGAAAAGCAAAAACAAAGTCACTGAGGAGCGTCTCCACAGTCCTCTGTTCCCCAAGGACATCACTGCAGTCAGAGTTCACTCTTCCTGTCCTCCCTCCCTGCATCCTGAGCTCAGGGCACCGATTCTGCCCGAGAGCAGTTGCTGCTCCACAGCTCCTTGTGCCATAAGTGTACACCATGTGTGTTGATCTATAGCTGGACACTTGTCTGAGCCAGGCAAGACCACTCTGCAGCAGACTCTGAGGGGACAAAGGGCGAGCCTCGTCCCGGGGCAGAAGAACAGGTTTGCTTTCTGTACAAGCACAGCCTAATTAACCAGAGCACCCGCTGGCACAGGCTGTGTTACTGCTCATCAGCATGTCCTGTGTGATGGAGGCGCCTGGAGCAGCCCAGGCACTGAACACATTTGCACAACACAGACAGATGCTGCATCGTTCAGGTCCTGCCACAAAAAGAGACACAGGCCCGTAGCAGGGGGGATATGGGAGCAGGAAGGGTACAGGAGCAAATCGATCTGGGGACAAGATGGCAAAGGGCTGGCTGAGAGTGCTCGATGGCCAGTGTGGGTCTGGCTGATGGGCCAGTGCTCAGCACCACCTGCCCATCCCACCAAGATGCCCTCAGAGTTCTGCTCCTTTCAGTCCAACATGAGTTCCCAGCTTGCATAAAGACCACTACAGAGCTGAATTTCTGGCCATCCACGAAGGTCCAAACCCCACAGTAGAAGATCTGTGCAGAGCCACCACCACTATGATAATTTTCTTTCCTTTCCTCATGTAAACAAACCTTCTAACCCCATACCTCCTCTGCCAGTGTTAGCAGTGACAGCCTAGTTTCATTCACCTTTTGCCTATTCCTGCAGTTTTACCATCCCCCTGTTGTAAGCACACCACCCTGCCTCACAAGTGGAAAGGAAAATCTGTATAAGCACCAAAAAACTCAAGTTTTGCAAGGCTAAAAGTACTTGGGGAGGGCAAAAAGGAGAGAAAAGACCCAAACCTACCTCCTACGTCCAAATCCAGCTTATAGTTGAAGGAATGAGTACGTATCATACCCAGAGTGTGTTCCCAAAGCCTATTGCCATATCTCAGGCCATCCCCATGAAGAAAGGATGAGCTCGGGTACCCTGTGGCCTGGACCTTGCCTTCAATGGCCCCGTTCTGGTAGAAGATGAAGTCCCACACATAGTCATAGTTGCCCACGGTGGCAA